CAAAGATTTTCCTATTAATGAATATGAAAAGTAAATCTGTCCTATAAAGACTTCCAGACACACCCTTTCTAGCGGATTGACCTATGGCAAGAAATAGGTGGTAATCAAGGGAAAAATCCAAAATAAAGACAAAGTGAAGTTACCAGTGCAGCAATGATTGTGGAAATCAGTCCAAGCACTGCATAAAGAATATACTTATTATGGAAATTTTGAAAACAAAAAGGCATGGAAAAGTCAAAAAATTTATTACAAGTTTCCCCCAGTGGCTTAGGTGTCATTCGGAAAATTGACATCTGTGTTCCACCTTAATTTCCAAGGTATTCTGGATCTTCCTAGTAGCCAAATGATTTCCTGGGGAGCCTCTTCCACTGAAGAGGCTTTTTTTTTATTCCTTTTCTCCTGGAGAACACACATGCACACACATGCACACACACGCACACACACACACACACACACACACACACACACACACACACACACACCAGAGGCAAAGGAGATGCAGAGAAGACAGAAAAACAGATACAGAGAGGATGTAGGTACAAAATACTGTTCTCTAACTGTGCATAATCCACTTCTCAACTAGGCTTTCAAACTTAGTAAATAATCATAAAGCAGACTACCCAGTTAAATTTGAATTTCAGATAGAAAAAAATATTATTTTGTGTAAGTATATTTCAAATAGTGCTTGAGAGAGATCTGCCTCAGTTCACATTTAACTTAGCAACTTATCTGGCAATCCTGTTCCCAGTTGCTAATTCAGAAATGATTCAGACCAAGTTGTGGGTACAGGAATGCAATGCATTCATAGTTTAGGACCTGACATTCGCACACGTGGTGCTTCCTTTTGTACCTGGTATCTTTCGGTATATCACAGGGAGACCATTTCTTATCTTTAATTATGGTAAAAAAATTTAATGATTCCAAATCTTCACCTTCTGCAGACCTGAGATGCACAAAGTCTAATACTTTCCCTGCTGTTTATTAGTCACTGCTGGCTAGTAAGCTTTCTGCTGACAGATGACTTGGTTCTTGGAGCATGAACAGTTCCTTTTAACCTGAGAGCCTCTTGACTCTCTTCATTGGCACTTTGGGCTCCTCCCAGAACTAAGACAGCTGGACACACCTGCTTATGCCTCAGCAAATATGCCACCAGGCAACTACAATGAAAGAAGACCCTTGCGACATAACACACCTGGCCCCCAGGACAGTGGAACACTGTATGCTTCAAAAAGAGAAGCCACCAATGTCATCTTTGCTGTTGCCCAACCTGGGTAATAGCAAATGTCCAGGGAACTTATTCTGGAGTCTCTGGAATCATCTTTATTCTCTCATTATAAAAAAATCATTTGGGAGTATTTCTTTCTACAGTGAGAGAGAATTTTAGACATTTGCTCTCATCCCCTGGCCCTTGAAAGCATAGATAAATGCAAAACCTATTTAAAAAACAGATTCAAAGTTTTTCTGTAACTCTCAATCCAAATGTTACCTGCAAGTCACTTTGGTAGAGAAATTCTAAAGCCACCACCTCTCATCTATTGATGTATTTGTGCTCCAAAATATGCTTGGTAATCAAAGGGAGCTGTTTATATCCTGGGCTTCATGTAAGCATTGTTCAACAGGCAACAATCATCCTTACTTCTCCCAAACTTTCATGTTACCCTTTCCTCACCTAGAAGAATCTCTCTTGCCCTACAAGAAATCTCAATTTTGCCTTCGTGGGGTATCACCTGCTTCTGAATTATGCTTACAGTAAAAAAAGAAAAAAAAAAAAAGAATCAAACACACTTTTGTATCCTGGAAAGCTACTGAAGCCCCTATAATTCTTTCTTCCCTTACTTATATAATTTATACATTGGCTTTCAGTGAAATACATCTTCTACGAATTTACTTTGTATTTGGAAGCCAGCATCTTAGTTCTGACCTTGCTTCTTATAAAAAAGGAAACTGAATTCCCCATCCATGAGAGAACAAATCACTTTATCTTTTGGATAAATGAGTCGTCATTTATGTGTGGTAAAGACAACTTTTCTTTTGCAAAGTCAAATGCAGGATAGTTGCTGTAAATCACTTTCAGCATCTGCATAGTAAATCGAAGAGTTTTTTCTTTAGTTTTCACCTGGAAGGGGGCCAGTTTTATTCCACATTTCTTTTGGGTAGCAATAAAATGTTTACAATAGCAGTCAGGTCTCAGCAGCCAACTCTTTCTTAAATTTCTTTAACATACAACCAAACCAGGGGCACTTGCAGGGCCAAACAACTGAATAAGAAAATGCTAACAAAAAAAATCTAGCTGCAATGTTCCTTGGGATGTGTAATCACATGCCTAATTTATGGGCTAGTGCAACCAGCAAGGAAGATTGGTGGGAAACAGGCTTGCACTAGGCTGAGAGCACATCTTTAGGGGAAGACAACAAAAAGAAGGCTGGGACTGATCACCACTCCTGGACTCACGGATCACATATCTCACCTCTCACACACTCCTGAAGAGTTCATATTGTTCCCCTTATTGTTCACAGGAGGAGGGTGGGTATCTGTGATTAAGGGCTTTGTTTTAAAAATCAAAGGAGGCTGCATGTCCATCCATAGCCAATAAGCTTCTGCTCTTAACTTGCCTCAGAGAAGAGTCTTTCTGAAAAAGACCTGGGATCACTCACATAATCACAAGACTGCTTAGTGGAGAACAGAAACTGGGTTAAACACACTTTCTCACCGATACGGCTCTTAAAGCGGCACAAGGAGAGAGTATCTGAATTGTTTTTACAGAAACTTATCAATAGAAACCTATCAATGAGCAATGACTTGTAGAATGTGCTCAATGTTCCTTCCCTGTGCCCAGTCCCTGTGTCACAGTTAACATACTGTGCTTGTTGAGATGGCCTCTACCTGAGGCAGGCCCTGAAGCAAGGATTCTGTTGCTCAAGAGATTTGTAATGATAACAACAGTGACAGCCATCTTTTGTTTAATGGCTGCCAGGCAGCAGACACTATCCTAAACACTTCTCAAATATTATCTCTTCAACCAATTCGATCAGAAGACTATAATCATTCATGGGTAAAGTGGTAGATCCTTTCCTACTATGTGTCTCTCTTCATCCTTTCTCTTAGAAGAAAGATGGTCAAAGATATAATTGTACACAAAATTCTTATGAAGTGAGCTCTCTTGAGAGATGGACTGCTATCGTCTAGAGGCTCCACTTGAAGAGCCTTATGGGATATGAACAGGAAAAGAGGTAGCAGTTGACCAAGGGAAGGATGTTCATACATACAGAGTAACAGTTAAGGCAAGCAACTAGGGCACTTTCCAAGGACAGATGGTGGTCTAACAGAAAAGTAAAGAAAACATGGCATCATCTTTGGGGTTCTATAATGAAAGATGCATAGGATCAACTTGTTTCTGATGCTGAAGTGAGTCTGCATCTACAAATTTTATAGGAAAGGAAATTAATGTGAGGGAAAGTAAAGTCATGTATTCAATCACCCTCTTATATTAGATTTGACCTGAAGGCCATGCGTCTTCATCCTATTATGAACAGCATGGCTAAAATAGAATAAATGAGCTACGTTGACAAAGTAGAGATTAAAAATTAAAAGCAGGAACAGTTCCATATGGAACACTCTAGGTAGAATAGCCACATTGAAGGTGGTAAACATTAGCTATTCTGTCCAACTCCAGAAAACTAATGTATATTTCAGAAATTTAATTGGACACATATGAGCTCTTCTAGGTGATAAACTAGAACTACAGGATTGGCATACACAATTTTTTTAAGTGAAAAGTGCTTCAAAATCCAAGGAATATTAAGGGAAAAGAGTGCTACAGAACCAGCCTTCTATAGAAAGTCACAAATAGGACAGTAGTTGTGCCTAAAAGAGAGTAGTAGTCTCCCTAAAATCTTAAAAACTAAACAAAGTTGCTTCTTCAGGCCTCTTCTTGCCTCATGATTCTTTAGGTTTAATTACATTTTATGGGTTATACGTCAGCAGAAAACTCAGGAATCAAGCAGACTTTGGTCTGAACTTAACACGTGACCATTGACCAATCATTTGAAACTGTCTATAAGAAGATTAGGAAGTTCCAGGACATTCTGAACTTTACAAGAAAAAAACATAATGTTCCATTAAAACAATGATAAGCAAGAGAAAATTCTTTACTGATCACAGGAATTGCTAAAACTACCATATCTTTATCTAACTAAATGTTCTCTGGGATGTCCATGTGGAGTTTGCACTGAGTTTCCTGCCTGTAGATTCTGGACTCTTTTATTCTAAGTCAGCCTCCCACTGCAGGAATTCAGATGAGTCTCCAATATTTTATCAAGGTAGAAGATAAACATAGTTGGAGTTTGGTAAAATTTTTGTGGATGTGTTTTGTAGCCTTCACATTTGTTAGCTTGTCTATTCTTTGAACTCCTCTGTTTATTGTATATTATATTTTTTTAAATGAGGGCAGTTCTAGGTACAGGATCTGACTTGTTTATTTTAAAATAAAATCCATTTTGGCATTATTATTTTGGTTAATAACAGTTTTATTTTCCATGTTCCTTTCACATCCTTTATTTCTCTGTATCATCATTTGCCAGGCCATATAAAAATGATCTCTGTGCTTGTCTCTCCCACTAGATTCTAAACTATCTGAGGGTATGTGCTGTGTCTTACTTATTAATATTGTCATCCTTTGGTACCTGCCAGCTTAGAATTTGAGGGATTCACCAGAGAAGCTGTAAAGTGTGCTGTTATAAGACTGAATACTGGAACCATGTTATCCAAGGTTAAACCTAGCACTGCCATTGTGCAAACTCTATGACCGAGTCCCCCTCTGTAGAACAGGGGCTATTGCACAGCCTGCAGGACAGTTATCAGTGAAAGGTCAAATAGAGACCAGAGGTGCTTAGGCAAGTTCCAAACCTCCAACGAGCTTGAGACTCCTGGAGACTTAGGACCAAGCCACCACCATTTGAGTCTCAGCTACCCTGTAAACTGAGCACTGGGCACGGCCTCACCTTATGGAACTGCGGAGGATATATTCGGGCAGCCCCGTGGTTTAGCAGCAGCTGGTAGCAGATCTCAGGCCGGGCGGCAGGCCTCACGGAGGTGACCTTGAGCACATATTGTATGGCAGCGCAGCCATTGATATCCATGAGGTTGGCTTCAGCGCCAGCCTCCAGCATCATGTGCATGAGCACGTGGTCGCAGTTCCAAGCCGCCTTGTGCAGGGGAGACTTAAAGTCATCGTCTCGGGCATTGACCTCGGCCTTGTAGTCCAGCAGCATGCGGCAGATGAGGTGATGCTCCGGGCTGTACTCCTGCTCTTTAAAGCGCAGCGCCCAGTAGGTGGCAATGGCCAACGGGGTCTCCATATGGGCGTTCACGCTGTCCACGACGGCCCCGTGCTCCACATAGAAGGCCACCAGCTCTGAGAGCCCAAAGTGGGCCGCGGTGTGCAAAGGCGTCTCCTCGTCCTGGTTGTTGGTCTTCATGTTCACGTTCGCACCTATTAAGGGAAATTGAGGTGGACGATTATTTTGCTGTTCTTCCCAAGAGCCCTTTCACGGGACTCTGCTATTTCCTTCTGATCTCTGATTGCCATACACCGCATTATCTCCACTCTTCTTCCCAGTCCTACTTCCTGTCCTGGCAGAAGTCACTCCTTCAAAACAACAGTGCCACCTCCAGGACAGCCAGCAGGGCACCCCAGGGAGAGGAACAGAGAGTTCCGGTCCCAAGGCTGGTGCATTCTTGCTGAATTCCACTTCTGAACTCCCAGGTGCTTTTGGAAATACGAGTGATTTCCAGAACTAAAATGTTTTCATCGGTGAGATACTAAACACCATTAAAATAAAGGTTATGCATACAGGAAGCTTTGAGGCTCATATAAGTGGCTTTTTAAAATTCAAAGGTCTTGAGCCTTTTACAAATAATGTTTTCTTCTTTGTCAAAGCAAGTGAACTTTAAGTTTGGTGCAAGGTGAACCTTAGTGACTTGGAATGTGCGAGCTCTTTGACCAAAATCACAGTAGCAGGGCTAGGTCTGTGCCACTTCTTTGGAATACACCACACACACACACACACACACACACACACACACACACGTGCGCGTGCACAGGCGTGAACATCTTTAGCCATCAACTAGTTTAAAGGTCATGTTTTGCATTGAAAAGGGTACATGCTAATATAATAGAAACACTCACTGAAAGAAAAAATAATTCACAGACTGTAACATGTTTTAATTTATGGTTGACAAAGGACATTGTTCTTGACCAGCACCTTAGAAATTGTTTACAGATCAGGAAATAAAAGTGAATTCTGTTCTTCTGATGAAGGATTTTGAGTGTAAAATGATCAACTTGTAAAGCTGAAATTTTCCTTTTCTGCCTAATTTGAGTTGAACCAAACTAGGGAGTTGACTCTATATTCAATTTTACTAGAAGTTTTTATAGCTTCATCAAGCATAATTCTCAAAGATTATTATTATTGCAATAACTATATTTACTTAGCACTTAACTATGTGCCACATTCCGAGCTAAATTATTTTCATTCTGTGGCCTCATTCCAGCAACTCTTTACTGTATGTGCAACTGTATCCTAATTTTATAGATGAAGAAATTTGTACTTAGTAAACCATTTGTCCAAAGCACACTAAGCTAATAAGCAGCCTTAGAATCAACAGCCTGGCTCCAAAATCCTTCATTACTATGATATTTTGCCTCATAGTCTTTTGCTTGAAAATTTTCTGTATATTTGTTTGGTACATGAAAGCTAGAAAAGAGAGAAATAATGTTGCATTTCGTAAGTTTAGAAAATCTATTCTTCCCGGATGGTTCTTTCATACCCTTATTGTAGCATCCTCCTATCCATATGAAACATGTTTGAAAAGGCTATGACCAGGTGCAGTGGCCCATGCCTGCAATCCCAGCACTTGGGAGACTGAGGCAGGAGGATCCTTACAGGTTCAAGACCAGTGTGGGCTACAAAGTAAGCTCAAGACCAGCTGAAATGACTAGCCAGACCCTGTCTCAAAAAGACAAAAAATAAAATAAAAAAATAACATCCCCATAACCATGCTCTGGATTCTGTGGAAAACCAACCTCCAGTGCAGTTTGCAAGAACATTCTTTTTTTTTTTTTTTTTTTTTTTTGTCTTTTTCATTTTTATCGGTACCAGGGATCAAACTCACGACTGCCTGCTTGCAAGGCAGGCTCTTATGCCGCTGAGCTAAATCCCCAGCCCAAGAACATTCTTCTCTGCATGCTCTGAGGCTGCCTCTCCTCCTGACTTGCAGAAAGCAGAGGTATAACCAAAGCCTACCTTTAACCGATCCTCTGCTCTCATCAGTATTCTACCTGGAAAAGTTCATTTCCTCAGATCCTGGAGAATTTCCAGTAAGGAAGAGCATCAAAGAGTCAGGATGAAATTTGTACACCAACTTGGAACAAGCCACATACTTTCTTTGAAATGGACTTGGACATTTATAATTGACATTTGACCTCCAGGTGCAATGCAGCCCAGTTGCCTTTTCTAAAAGGAGCTCCTTGTGTTTATATTTGAATTGTGCCTTTGAGAGTAACTATTGCAGGGCATATTCTATCAAATGGGATTGTTTGACTATATTTTGATTTAGATGTTGTAATTTACTCAAGAAACTAGGCAAGCAACTTAAATCTTTGGTAAATTTTGCAAATATTTTTAATGTAAAAATGTAAAATATACATTGCCAACTGATGCCATGATAGTGTCACATACTGGACAACTTAAAACAATGGAAATATATTCTCCCACAACTCTGCAGACCAAAAATCTATAAATAAAGTGTTTTGTTTTTCCTGAGAGTTAGGAAGAACATCTGTTTCCGCCTCTTTCTTAAATTATATACAATGGTTGCATCATCTGGTATGCACAACAATTCGCGACAAATTGACACACTTCTGTGGAATCTTTTCATGCAGAAATATATGGTCTGTTTCTCCAAGAAGTTTCTTGTGTATTCCTGTAAAATATTTGTACTTCTCATAAAGATTTTTGTATCAATTTTCATTGTAGGTAAGCAGAATATTTTACTCTTGAGTAAAGTAATTTATCATGAGCGGAAGCTCTTCATGAACCTTGTAATTGATGCAAAGCTATCTTTAGAAGACGTCTAAACTAGCAACTAATGAAGCAGGTAAACTCTGATCTAGCACAGTGACTTGTTCTCGTAATCCTAGCTACTGAGGAGATTGAGGCAGGAGAGTCAAGAGTTGGAGAGTAGCCTCAACAACGTCGAAAAATTCTGTTTTAGGAGAACTTGGCATTAAGGAAATCAGATCAAAATCACATTGATAGTTCATCTCACCACGGTCAGAATGGTTGTTTTCAAGAATACAAAAACCAGTAACACTGGTGAGGATAATGGGGAAAGGTACTCCTTATATACTGCAGTGGGGATGTGCTTTAGTAGAGGTACTATGAAAATCCATGTGGAAGTTCTTCAAAACACTGAAGATGTAACTACCATGTGATCCAGCTCTACCAGGCCTTGATGTATATGTAATGCAATTAATCAGTATACTATATCGATACCTGCATGCCCTGCATATTGTCGTATAATTCACAATAGTCGTGATATGAAAATAGCCTAGATGTTCATCAATGGATTGAAAAAGATGGTATGTATGCATAATGGAGTATTCTTTGACCATAAAGTAGAGCAAAATTACGTCATTTACAGGAAAATAGAACTAGAGATCATCATGTTAAGTGAAGTAAGCCGGACATAGACAAGTACTGCACATTTTCCTTGACATTTTCCTAGACAACTTAAAGTAGAAGAGAGACTATTATTAAACTATAGAAAGTGAGCAAGATTAGGGGGAAAGGGGTGTTAAGGTGGATGGCAGAGGGATGAATATGATCTAAATGTGTCATAAGCATGCATGCAAATACTATGCCAAAACCCAATATTTAGTAAAATTAATAGGAACTGAAAAGAAAGTAGGGATTGGGGATATAGCTCAGCACTTTCTGTGTTCATTCCTGCATCCTGAAAAGAAAATTCTAAATTTGCTCTGTATAGTAAAGAACAAGACATTTAGATTTCACCTGTGGGCAAAGAGATGATTTATAAACAGTGAGAATGAGACAAAAAGGTGAGATAGAGAAGTAGATGAACAGAAAGAGTGAGAGCTGGCCAGGAGAAAAGGTCTGTGCTCAAGATTTTTGGAGAAAAGTCTTGAGTTGAAGGTCATGGAGGGACTTTAACAGAATGCTCTTGGTACAATATCTTTCTATTTCTGCCATGATGTTCTTTGATTACACTCAACAGTCAACACTAATTTTGTCAGTCTTAGGCAGAAGATCTTAAATGTCTGCCAAATCATCACTGTGGTTCCCTCTGCTGGGAACCATCTGCTGAGTTGGTGTCCCCACAGACTCCCTGAGCCATCCTTATTGGAAGAACTACACCTCCAAGTCTCTTGCCATTCCAGAGCTGCAAGAAAGAGGCACTAGGTCTGTATCACTGTAGAAACTTTCACTCCACTGTATTCCCAGACTCAGGGAAGCCATGTCCCCATTTCATGTCCCTAAACCTGCTCTCCTGTGTCCATGATAGTAATCTTGGTTACTTTTCTTGTTATGGGGATGAAATACACAAAACCCATAAGTTAAAGGAAGAGAAGTTTATTTTAGCCCACAGTTTTCAGAGATCTTAATCCATAGTCACTCAGCTCCAAGGCAGAGTAACACAGGAGAGGGAACCGTCACAGGAGAAATAATTCATGGCAAAACAAGCAGGAGGCAGGAAGCAGCTAGTCTCCCTTTCCCTTTTTATTCCATCCAAGCCAAAAGACTTTTTATGGTTGGTACCACTGACATCAGGGTGGGTCTTCTGCCTTCAGTAAATCCATTTGGCAACACCCAGAACTATAGTAATCGCATTTAGTGAACTGATATAATCTACCTATGATCCAATCACTGCCAAGAGCCCTACCTCATGAGCACTTGAGGCTTTGATGGGACATCTAGATACAACACATAACAAAGATCTTCGCTTCTTGAATATCTGTATGGAGGAATATGCACTGAGATGAAGAAGCAGCCTGAATCCAAGATCCCTCCCCTTCCAGACACATCTTGCATCTCCTATTTTTCAGGGACATCTGCCTTCACACATGAACTTTGGAAAGTAAACAGAACATCCCAGCTAAATTATAGGCATTATTATTACAAATAATATAAACCACAGTAATACTATGTGAAATTCAATCGTTAGCATTTAAGAAAGATCATCCTACATAACATAATAAAGAAATGATTTGTTTGAATCCATATGGAGAATCCGCATATATGTTTGAATAGATACAAATGTTCTGTATTATAATTCAAATACCATGAATATCATGACCATAAGGAAAGATGCTCTCAAATGAGGAAAAATCTTGGGAAAATTCTGAAAAAAGAAAACCCAATGTTACCATGATTTTTCCCTACTGCATTCCATATTTATCTAAAATTCAAA